GGGGGGGAAAACTCAGTGCTCATTGTGAAGGCAGAGGGCCGGGTCTGAAGGGAAAAAATACACAGAAGCAAACCCCAAAAGCTCCAACCACCTTTCACTTGGCCCCGCAGTCCATTTACAATTCATATTCTTATCCAAAGCCTAATTCTCCATCCCCCAACATTGAAACCCAGCATCTATTATGCGCCTGCCCCTCAAATCAGTAAAGCAAAGAGCCCCTAGGAGGGGCAAGCCTGCAATGGTCCAACTGAGGCGATGATGCCCCTTAGGGGGTCCGGAACACAGGAGGAAACTAGTCGCCATCCATGCACCCACGTTAGCCAACAACAACACGTACCTCCCCCAACTCTTGTCTTACCAAGGAATCTCGCTCAATTGTTGTTCCCTCGTCTGGAGAGACTGAAGTCCACAGAGGCCAAAACCAGGCCAGATCTGCTCGTACTAAAAGCCCCTCTCCCTACTCCCCCGCAGCCTGGCTTCCTCCCCACCCGCAGAACGATGCTGACGACAAAAATATTATGACCTGATTGCTAACAGCAGGGCCAAGACCATTGGGTAAACAACCTGCCAGCCTTTCCCCACATCAATAGCAATTATTTTCATCCTTGCAATTCCCATCATGACTATGTGTCGGGCAGACCTTTTAAGGTTTTCTGTCTCAACAGCCACTCAGCACTGCCCACCTGAGGTTTTCCTAAAGGGCAGAAAAATTAACTGCCACTTAATAGACTTCCATATTGTCAATGTCCTGGCCTCCCAAGTTTTGATTTAAACCCACAGGAACATTCTCAGAGATGGTCCTGTGCCTCGAATTCTTCCTACCCCTGTGTGTGGTGGTGGTGTGGGCGTGGGGGATCAGTTCTGTTTTTCTAAGAATTTCCCAAGAAAATATCCTGATAACCGCTGGGTTTTCAGAGGTCAATGGCGAACAGGAAGACAATTTCAAGGCCTGACGAGGAATCTAAAGGGACATCTTCTCTTTCGTTTTCAAGATTTCTCAGGAAGGTATGAAAGGTTTTTCTTCCTGCTACTCTCAGGCTTTCCTAGTGGGCTTCAATCTTAGACTTGTGATCCAACCAAAGACCATGTCTTTCCTCCAGAAACTATGAATACTCAAAAGGAAACTGCACATGGCATTTAGTTAAAACTGTGGGGCGCCTGGGTGGCTCTGTTGGTCAAGCATTCAACTTCGGCTCAGTCATCATCTCACGGTTCTGTGAGTTCCAGCCCCGCATCAGGCTCTCTGCTGTCAGCGTGGAGCCTGCTTCGGATGCTGTCTCCCTCTCTCTGCGCTTCCCTACCTCGTGCACGCGTGTTCGCTCTCAAAAATAGACACTAAAAAAAAATTTTTTTAATGCGGTTTTGGCAACTATAAAACAGAGAACACCGTTCATGGACCTCACCTCCTACCTCTGGGCCATGGTAAATGCCGAAGTTCCTACAGACCCGAGCTGACGCGGTGCCCACCTACCCCCAAATGGGTGAGTGCTGCGAACCAGGGACTGGCGGGCACCCTGCTGTCACCTCAGCCTGGCTCTGGTCTTCCCACCGGGCTGTGCCAGACTGCATACAGCTTAATCCCCGTTAATCTGTGTCCAAGTTCTGAAGCAGGAAACGGGCAACCTACCATCCTCTAGCACAAGGGCATCTGAGAGGGAGCTGTCTTCACTGGCAATATTTCCATCTGAGAAGAGAAAGAGCAAGAGTCTATGAGTTCAGCCCATCCCTTAGACAAAGACCTACTTGTAAAAATCATACGTCTGGGACCGTCCCACATCCTCCTCTTTCTAATCAGAAAGAACACACGGAGTACAATCAAAATGCTGTTTGGCACTTCCTTTGACAGTCCCTGGGGTGGGTCATTAGCTCATCCCTCGCTCCTGACACCGCAATGTGCCAGTCTTTGTGTATCTGCACTTGTTTCACTGGACCCTGCCGTGCCGAGCAGCTTAATATCCAGGATAAAGGCTGCCCAGCCTGGTTAAGCCACATCATTGTCCCGGCCCGATCTCAGGGCGTGTTCCAACCCAACCAAAGGCAGTGAACTGCTATGTATTTGGTACACGTGAAACTAGCTAAGGACTTGGCTTTGGTCTTGTGGCAATAAATGTCTTCTCCGTAAACTTCTTAAGTTGTTAGTGGTGAACGCAGGCTGCTAACTATAGCTTCTATCTCTTCAAAGCTTATATTTATAGATACTAGTTAACCATGAGAACGTGCCCAAGAGGGAGCCAGTAAAATAGTCCTCCCCTCTTAACATCTGGGGAAACTGAGGCCACCGAGGGGGAGTGGTTTGTCTGGAGATGCTCTGTTCAAAACGAGCAAAGGTCCCAGTCTGAAGTTCCAAGTTTAGTGTTTTAGCTCTTGAAATAAAACACCAGGGGTGCCGGTGTGGCTCAGTCAATTAAACGTCCGAGTTTGGCTCAGGTCATGATCTCACGGTTCGTGGGTTTGAGCCCCGGGTCAAGCTCTGTGCTGACAGCTCGGAGCCTGGAGCCTGGAGCCTGCTTCCGATTCTGTGTCTCCCTCTCTCCCTGCCCCTGCCCCACTCATGCCCTGTCTCTCTTGCTCTCGGAAAATGTTAAGAAAAGAAAAGAGAAGAGAAGAGAAGAGAAGAGAAGAGAAGAGAAGAGAAGAGAAGAGAAGAGAAGAGAAGAGAAGAGAAGAAATAAAACATCAGACTAAGGAACTAAGAAGAACTGTAATTATTCCTCTAATTATTCCTCTAATTCAAGCGTGGCAGAAACATTTTGAGGCGGTGGCAAAATAAAGTATATTCTTGAGCACTTAAAAACAATGGCTGCAAATTTGCATGGGACCATGTGTCGCTGGGACAGATACTTGTTTAAATGTGAATTCTGCTGTCAGCGCCCACAGAACTGCCTGGGCCGGGCAGGCAGGGAACCAGGCTCTTCTGGGGCCGACCAGTGACAGGTCTGTCCCTGTGGTACCCCTCCCAAACTTGGCTCTGGTGACCGTGCTGGAGGTTTCTGCAGAGCTGGGCCTCCCCAAGGAGGTCTCACAGAGGCCTCAGACGGAGAAAGGCTGGCTGACTGCAGCTCTGTTAAGACGTGGGCAAGCAAGTGACAAAGTCTTGGCCAAGGCCAACAGGGCAGGATGGGGAAAGATGGTTATTCCAAATTTCCTAGAAGAAAGGATTTTTTTTTTTTTTTTACAGTCTCTTGTTTTTCTAAAGTACGAAGTTACTTTATTTGTATTGTTTGGTGGGATGGGGCAACTGGGGGTCAGAGGCCCTGGTAGAGCCTTGCTTCCCTCGTTTGCCCACATTTTAAGGTTACACAATTGTGCTCTACGTATGTTATAAGTACATATGATTTATACGTATGTAATTGTGGTAAAATATACATGCCGCAAAATATACTGTTTTAACCGTTTTTAGCTGAACAGGTCAGTGCTGTTAAGTATATTTACACTACTGTGCAACCATCACCATCCCTTGAACTTTTTCATTTTTCCTAACAAAACCTGTACCCATGAAACACTAACTCCCCATTCCACCTCCCCCTCCAGCCCCTGGTCACCTCTATCCCACTTTCTATCTTCCCGAAGAAGTATTTTCAACATGCATAAACCATGAAGGAGTATCTGATGTAGGTTTCAAAGAGTTTGCTGACATAGGGAAGAAGGATTAAAACAGTTTGGGGGACTCAACGGCCGTGGGTGGATTCGGGGGGGGGGTTCTTTCTAGCATTTGCCAAATGTAATCACCCGAGCTTCTAAACCCTCCTGACCAGGAGTCGTGACCTCAGGACTCTAGACAATCAGAGTGGGGTGGCCCAGTCCTCCTGGGGTTTGGCTTTGGGACAGGGGGCCCTTGGAGACAGCCCGTCTGTGGAGGACACAGGCTCGGCGGGGGTGCTGGCTCGCAGCGGACCCCAGCCACCCTCTTTCCTTCCAGACACGGGCAGGGTGATCAGGTCCCCGAGGACATCAGAACCTGGGCAGGCACGGTTAGCTGAGCCTAGCTCCCGGTGAGGGCCGATGAGAGCATGTAGCTCACAGCTGCTGGCTCTCCCAGGGCACAGCGGACAGGCATCCAGACAGCTCGGTTTGTGGGATCCTCTTGTGTGGACCTGAACACTCTGTGTTGTTCCTATCTGGTTACCGGGCCTTATAAGCTTCACTTTCTGGACCAAAAATAAGGCACGGGGGGTTAAACAGCTTGCGCAGGTCATGCAGGGAGCCAGCTGTGGACCCGCTCTCGGGGCTGGTGCTGGTTCCAGTGTCCAGGGGCCCCTGTGGGGAGCGGGCTTAGTTAGCACTGACCGGCGATGATCAGCGAAGCCCTCTGCGTGGGTTTCTTCCCAGACTTGATGCGGTTCTCGTTGATGGCATTCTCGATCTCCTGCAGCTTCCTCAGTGCGTTCAGATAAGAGGTTTTCCTTTGTTTCTTCAGTTTTTTGCTGACGTTGGGGTCACTGGCGAGGCGGCGGGCGGCCTCTGTAATCTGGGATTGAATGGCAAATTCCCGTTCCAGGCGTTCCAGCTCGGCCTCCTGTGGGAGGGAGACACGGGCTTACACTCAGTGGGACGCGGGGCAGGGGGACCCTGCCTCCCCACCCCTGTCCCAGGGCCAGCGAGCCCTACTCTTTGGGAGACACGCATCCTAGGAAATCAGCAAGGCCCGGGGCCTAGCCCCAACCTCGCCTGACCCTGCAATGGCCCTTCTCCTAAAACCTCTGGCAGCTAGTGCCCGGGGCACCCCCACTTTCGAGACTCTTGGCTCCCGTTACATTTAGGAGACAAGTGTCGGTCTCTCCACTGGTGGCATCATTGAGAAGCAGATTCCCCTGCTGCAGGCGGGGGGCCACCTGCCTTGGTTACCACCATCCCCACTGCAAGGTTCGTGGACACCAAGCCCTCGTGGAAATTCGGAGCCTGTCTGGTTGGCGCTTCTCACCATCCCGGGCAGGGCGTGCGGTGGGTTCACCAACAGGAGCTCACACGTGTGTGACTCCCCATCCTCGCACTCGTGCCCTCTGTCTCTCGTATTTTGAGCCCTCTGTGCTGGGACGTACCCCGCTCACCGGGATGTCTCTCGGAAGCCCTTCGTGCCAGCTCCAGCTGTGCCCACACCTGCTTGTTCTCAGCAGCTCTGGGCTGGGAGGCGCGGACAGGGGGGCGCAGCAGCCCTGCTTCGGGGCGCTCTCCTTCCTCCCCTGGGGCACCTCCCTCCGGCCTGCCGGCTGTGGCTGCCAGAAAACAGCCTGGCGGACGCAGCGGCTGAACGGGGATGGCGTGCTCCCCGCCGCCTCTCCGCTGCTCGGCAGAGGGGTGTTCAAGTACCTGCCCGCGAGGCCCGGGGAGGCCACACGTGCATCCTGCCCCAGGCGATCCGCAGCCTTGCAAAAACGTGACAGGAAGCGACCTAATCACGTGGGAACCCATCACCACGTCTGTCGGGATGGACAGATCTCTCCAGCTCAGGGCCGGATAAAAAAAGGCTCGCCAAGGGGCGCCTGGGTGGCGCAGTCGGTTAAGCGTCCGACTT